TATTAAGTTGAACAGAAATATTGATATTTTAATTGGTAAAACGTGCTCCTTCAAACAGGCACAATGGACAGAACCATAGACCTCAAAGCAAAGATACAAGACCATCTGATTGTATGTAGACCCAAACACAGACGAAACACCTTAGAACAGAACAGGAAATCAAATCTACAAAAACAAAAACGAAATCTTCATGCAAATGCACTGGATTCTCGTAAGGTGAGGAATTAGTGTAGTAGCATATTCCATGGAAATCTAAGTAGTGGCACTATCTTCCGCCGTTAGTAGGGATAATGCTCTTATTCTCCATGACCTGCCAGCATAAAGCTTTGAAACCAGTACTGCTAATGGCTACACCAAGCTGGGAAGAAAAAGCGGCATTAGTATTAATTTGAACAAAACCACCCTGAGCATACATGAAATCTAACTAGTACAAAATAAACCTTATTCATGGATGGGTGGGTTGCCACTCGGGGCTGGAGGGGTCGGCGGGTCGACCTTATCCAAATTCCAAAGCAGCCTGCGGTTACGAGGAAGGGCATGAACAACGTGGCTAGGGAAAGGCTCTGTTTTAGCAGGGAATTTCTTGTGGGTGCAGGGTTTTGTTTCCGCAGGGAAGAGCTTTATTTCAGCAGGGAGTTTCTTGTAGGTGCAGGGCTTTGTTTCAGCCGCATTTGCTATCAAATTCAACCTAAAAACGTCCAAAAAAAAAAAAAAAGAGTCAGAATTCACAATTTAAACGTAATTTTTGGAAACCGCAATATGAACTTCCTGGACCGACCTAATTTCATTTTTTAGAAGAACTTTCCTTACGTGGAATTGAAGTGTGATAGATAAAAGAACATGAAAAGGGGATTGAATTGGCCAACTGGGTAAAATTTTAATTACCTGGTGGAAAGACCAGGACAGAAAGTAATGATGTCATCTGCGCCAACACAGATGAAGGTGCTGGTACCATCGTCATATGAATAGGTATAAGCTGGAGGGCGGGCGTTCTTGAAGAATTCCGAGCAAGAACTGGGCTTGCAGGTGCCCGGTGATGTGCACGCGCCACTGCAGCAATGCTGAGGGTCTCTAAACGCATCACAAGCGCTCTTGCACGCCACTCCTTCGTTGCTCCCATCAATGATCTTAAGCTCCACCGGACAATCCTCGTTCAAATTGGCGGCGTATCCAGTCCCACCCTGAAGGACCACCATCATTGGGTCCACAAGACTCACGGCATAAAAATCAAGCCCCCCTGCAACGTTTAATGTGAATTTGGTTGCAGTGTCAGGTGGAGCAGCAGCACCACCAGAGCATGCCATAGTGGAATAACCGTAATCTCCTGTGAGACAAGAGAATTTACCGGAGGAATCTTGGGTGCAGAGAGTGCATCGCCATAAACGGCCTGACCAGGATGTTGGGACAAAGAGGGTTGTGGATTCCCCTGCCTGGAGAAGAAAACATTTGGTGGACAGTTCTGGTGTTCTTGCGCCAGAGAGAATTCCCAGCGAAACTGGATAGCTACACTTGTTCCTGATTGTAAATGTTGATGAATAAGCACCTGTAAAATGTAAAACAATTTAAATCAGGATTCAAACTCCGCAATAACTAAGTTACTGGAATACATGATACAAAAAGAATTTATATTTACTTGGAGGAAATTGAAGAGAGAATACAGCTAAAACCATGGGCATGAGTAGAAGAGAAGACATGTTGAATTGGGAAAAGAAAGAGAAAATTGTTAAGACTTAGTAGGTCATGTGAGTAAGAGGAATGGGAATCATGTATATATAGTAGTATATAGTAGGCCATGTGGGTGCGGACCACCCTAAGTATCATTTAATTTGATAAGGACTCTGGAAGTCTGGATTCTGAACATAATAGGGCGACGCGCCTTCCGCGCGCGTAACAATTTAGAATTAAATTTAAAATTTTTATAGATTAAATTTTAAAAAAAATTAATTTAAAATTCCATACAATAGTGAAGGAATCAAATTAAAAGTTTAATTAAATTATAAATAATTACAAATTATAATACATATAATAAATATGTATCCACTTGACAATAACCCTTAAAAATTTGAACTTTCAATGTTCTACGTATCAACTAAAAGTTTCAAGAATCATAAATTATTATTATTTTTTGAAATTATTTTTAATTTGTATATTTAATATGTATTTATTATATTTTTTATAATTAATTTACATAAAAATTATAAAATTAAACTTTATTTATCAATGTCATGTGAACTAAATGATTAATAAATTTAAAATTAACTTTTATTTTTTATATAAATTAATAATAAAAAATATAATTAATATATAATTAAGCTATATTTAAAAAAATTAATGGGAGCTACGGGAATGCGAACGTGGTTTCACCCTTTCACCCCTTTTTGTTGTGCTTGTATCTTGCGAGTCGTGGCCACTGGGCCACATGGTAGTTGGCAGGAGGGTTCGTTTTTCTCCGTTTACCGTTTCAACGAGACGAGCCGGATTCCCTCCCAGAACAAGCATTTCCCCCTTTTGTGTTTTGTCTCCATTAGCGCACTCGCCCATCAACACCCGCCGCTATTTGACCACATTACGTTGATTTACAAGGATGAGGAGAGCTAGGGGCACTCGCCTTCTGCACTCTCCGGACAACACTTTCACTTTTATTGGGCCACGTTATTCTGGTCGGTGAGAGGTTGCACCAAAGCCTGAAACAAGCTTACGTGGCCCAATGAAAGGGGAAGTGTAAGCCGGAGAGTGCAAGAGGCGAGTGCCCCTAGCACTGCTCTTAAAAGGATTGGTTGGAAATTGTTGCTAGGTGATTTTTAACAAAATAAAGTTTAAAGAAAGAGTTTTTCCACTCGTGGGGTTGTGGTTAGGAGGGTAATAATTAAAAAATATATTTGTTAAATATAAATTTGTATTCAAATAATCAATATTAATTTTTAATTTATTAATCACTTAATTGAATTTATTCATTTAAAAATAACAGTAAAATTAATATTAATTTTATATTTTTATATAAATTAATGAAATAAAAATAACTTTAATATGTACTTTACATGTTAGAAAACTCTTACATGTTTGAAAACACGTATTTGTATTTAATACATATATTTTATATATATTTGAAAAATATGTATTTTAAATACATGAATTTTAAAAAATACTATTTGGATTAGATAAAAATAAATAAATTTGAATTATGTGTATTTTAAAATATATTATTTAGATACATTATAACATTATGCATTTAAAATCAAATTTCATGTTAAGTTAAATTCTCTTTTATTCATTATTTAAATTGTGTCTCTATTTCATAAATAAAAGAACTACTTATATTTTTTATTTTCAAATATTCCAACATTCTTTAGATTGTCTCAAATTTTAAAACTAAAGATATTTTGGCAAAAAAAAATTAATTTCTTTACAAAGAAAAACATAATCGATTAATATAGGAAGACTTAAAATCTATTACATATTTCCAATTTATTATAAGAAATGCTAACTCTATGGCTTAGTTTGGAAGCGTTGACTTGTAACTGCAGTTGTTAATTTTTTGATCTCTTAATATTTTAAAAATATATAAAATATATTTAATATTTATTTTAATTAATAGTTTATATAATTTTAGGATAATAAAAAAAATAAAAATTAAAAATTAAAGTATCAAAAAATGTTGTCAAATGAAACTTATGTCTCTAGTAAAACTACCTTATGACATTTAGAGTATGATTCTAATTTAGCAAAATTAGAAAAAAAAAAGTGTGTAGTAAAGAGAAAAGAAGAACATAATCACATATTGCAACAATAAAAAAAAGGCCAAAAAAATTGTCAATAACAAGTTGATAAGGGCAGATTAATTAAAAATTATTATAAAATTAAACTAAATAATAAAAAGATGTTAAAAATAGAGATTATCTTACCTTCAATGAAAAGATCGAATGGGACATTGAAGAACCACTGATCAATCTCCAATGGGCCCCTTCGAACGGTAGCGAACCAATGATCATCACCAATATCTACGTCACAGCCATCCACTGCACCCACTCTAACTCCATTATCAATTCCTCAACCCTCCTTTCATTTCTCGTAGTCCGACAGCGGCTCATCACTTTTTCTTTTGAGCAAGGCAACATATGCCTAACTAATCATTTTGAAATAAAATTAATTTTATGATAATGATAAATTTATTTTTATTATTTACAAAATTATAATTTTTAACACATATTATTTTAGTTTTTTTAATAAATTTTTTTTAGTAAAATCACAATTATTGATCTATTTTAATAATTTACATAATTTATTGTTGATTACTTACTTATTGAATCATTCTATTTTAATTTTAATTCGATTTTTTTATTTTTTTTGTTAAAATTAATGAAAGTTTTATATAATAAATTATTTTAAAATATTTTGTAAAATTTATAAATTATTTAAAAAATTTTTAATTAAAATAAAATAAAATTAATAATTAATAGATCAATAATTAAATTAGGTAGATAAAGAAAGGAAAAAGAAAAAAGAGAGAGGGAGAGAAGATGGGGGGAGACAGGAGACTTGTTTTTCCCAAAACCCAAACAGTTAGTCGGCTACTCTTCCATCACATTCAAAGGTAACGTGGCCAAAGGGACTCTTCCATCAACATTCAAAGTAAGGTAACGTGGCCAAAGGAATGGGCAAGCGCTAGTTGGCAAGTGTAAATGGCTGTTGCCCCTGCATTTTTGTCTCCATCATGAGTGGAAATGTTTCCCCCTTTCACCTCCACTCGTTGGACAACCTCGCGTGAAAGTGCGTGGTGTTGGGTACAACTTTGACCGTAGCGTGTCACATTTTTTCTCAAATTTTTTTTAAAATTATTACCTTTTTTTTTACCACTTTTACATGGGTTTTAAATGTATCCATCCACAGCAGCCCTGGACGACGTGGAACCATTTTAGAAATTATTAATTAAAAGGAATTTTTTTTGTTTTTTTAAAGAATATATAATAAAAGTATAATTATTTTATTTTTTATTAATTTATATAAAAATAAATTTTAATTTTAATTTAATCATTCATCTAATTAAAACATACTATGTAAAATAAATATTACTTTTATAATATTATATATAAACAAATTTCTCAGAAAGGACAGCAGCCTAAGAGCTTCCAAATTTCTTTGATAAAAAGAACAAATTCAGTTATTAGCACCGCACCTTACCAAAAAAAAAAAAAAGAAAAAAGAAAAAAGAAAAAGAAACTTCAGTTTAAAATTACAAAGCAGGAACCTTTCCCAAACCTTCAAGTTGACATAGATCAACAACAGGATAAGTGAAAAAATCCTCATACAAACTGCGGTATTTTACAGCACCAGATTTTTTGTCATCTTTTTTTTAGAGAAAATATTTTGATGGCAATATAATAAAAAATGAAACAAATAGGGGTCCTTTGCATGCTTAAGATTACCTTGAGCCAACTGCAGATATCTCTTAGGTACTGGTTAGCTGGTTTAGCAGAAGGTTTTTCTACAAGACACAGAAAGTTTCTCCCTTTTATCTCCACGTGAATCCCCCATAAACCATCGTTATTATAATCAGAACCCCACACTACCCCTTAGAAAGCTGAGTACTGTGAGTGTGGGAACTTACGTTTCACCCTATCTTATTTTACACCCACTGTTCTTCACTTCCCTCCTCCAATGCATCTCACCAAGCACTTACTGATCTTAAATCAATCTTTCGAGTTTAATAATTCATTTTTAAATTTTAACACTTACATTAAATTAATTGAAAGTTTGAATCTTATTAATTATTTAAATATTTTTACTTATCCTACAAGCTATAGGTGCTTCTGCTAGCATGTAGGTTGACTCATTCGTTTCCCTTTTTCTCTAAAATTGTGCTCGTTCAAAAAAAAAAAATAATAATAATAACTGATTGCCCGTTTTTAGTTTAGAAGCTGAGGAACTGCTCCACCAAACCGTCTCTGGTCTGCAGCAACAATATATTGATCGTCAAACATTCTTTTTAATCTTCACATTCACATCACGCTATTGTTGTATTTCAACTACAAAATCAATAATAAGAAATAATTAATAAATTTATTAAAAAATATCAATAAAGAAGTACCGAATTAGGCTTGAAAAGCTTCTTTATTTTAGGTCAATCTGTCTCTACAGATAATAAATTTATTGATACAATAAAAGTATATATAATATATCACCCTCAAAATGTTTCTCTCTGGAGTCAACTAACTCAAGTAACTCTTCTCTGTCTAAAAATATTTTTTATCTAAACATATTTAGAAAATAAAGTAGCATAAGAAACTAAAAAAATGTTGAGAAACACTACACCTTGAGCAAAACTAACATGTCATATTTATAGGGTTGCTTTTGTAACTTCCATTTATAAATTAATTGTAGATTTAAATTAGGTAATTATTATAAAATAATGTATTTTTAAATAAAGTAATTAACTTATAACTATTAATTTGATCAAATCTTTAATAGAATAATAAATTTAATTTATAAAATATAATAGTTTTATTTTTATTAAAAGGGTTTGCCTTCTGGGTTATCATTTTTGCAGTAAAATGGAGATGATTTCATGTTCTGTCTCTACTGCATTTCGGGTTTTTTTTTTCTCCTATATTAGTTAATCAACCTTCAAAATAGTTTTCAAAAATATAAAAATCTGTCTTTCGATTCTTAAAAAAAAAATGAAATTATGTCGGTCCGGAAGTTCATACTGAAAAAAATGTGGTTTCAAAAAATAGTCTGTTTTTGTACATAAACAGAACATTAAATTGTGAATTCTGAGTTTCTTTTGGATTTTTTTTTTCTTTTTAACTTCTTTTGGATAATTTTATATTAAATTTGATAGCAAATGCAACGAGGCCTAATCTTCAAGGGCTCATTCCATTACCGGACAATACCAATTGTCAGGATACATGTTCTGGAAAATACACGCGTTAATGTTTCTACTGGGGTCTCTAGCGTTGCTATTATCCTTTTTTTTTTTGAAACGTGCGTTGCTATTACCCTTTTGAACCATCAATGAATACAAATAAAAAAAAAAAAAAGGGGGCTCTGACAGAAAATCTAGCAATGGAGCTATGGCTTTGCAATTTATAAATTAATATACTATTTATAATTATTTAATTAAAAAATTTACACTTTTTAATAGTAATAATTTTTTAATCAATAAATTAATTATATATTAATTCAATTTAAAAATCAACATGTATGATTTATATGATTAAAAAAATAAATTTAATGGTTAATTTTTGAAAATATTCATTGAAAATTTGTGTTTTAAGAGTTAGAACTTTAATTTTTTCTAAGAATTAAAATTGATACACACTATTATATATATATATATATAAGAATAATATATATTAGTTTTAACTTCTAAAAAAAATTAAAATCCATCCACATTTGGGAATTAAAAAACTCATTCATAATTTAAAAATTCATTTTAATAAATATTGATATCTAGATTTATAAACCACTTATATATTCTAGTATAATTAATTTTTAAATTTTGAATTAAATTTTAATTAAATAGAATGACCTTATTTAAAGTTAAAATTCTAATTTATTTTAAGAGTTAGAATTGATATATACATTTCTATATGTATAAGTAATTAAGTAATAACCCTCTCTTTCTTAAGTCTCTCTTTTATCTATTTTAAGATTTTAACATGTTTTGAGTATATTTAGAATTAGAGAAGTACTTTCATTTTAAAACACCCATGGTTTTACCTAAATAGTAGAATTAGGATTTTACTTATAGACCTGCAATCTGTAACTTTGTTGTCATGCAATTTGAAAATTTTCTAAACTGCCTTTGAATTGATCATTGCTATCAATGCCAACTCAACCTCCATGTGTCCAAAAGTCCACCAATAATGCCACATTTTTAAAAGATGGCTTAGTCAGCATCAATGTAATGGGTTATGGATAACACGTTAGGAAGTTCGCTGTTAATGAGGGGCCAATTTAATAAGTTCATGTAGATTGAGGGCTTAAATGATGTTTTTTTAGTTCAAGGGTTTAAAATCAACCTCTTAAGTTCAAGGGTTAAGCTTAATTTTAGTCTGTCTACACCCAGCGAAAATTTTTGCTCCTCCCATTTGTGAATGAAAAAAATCACTACTATTTAATTGTAAATTATTGAAGATCAGGGATATAATGGCTAAGTCTTAAGTATGTCTTATCTCTCATGGTGGAAAGAAACTGAGATCAATTTGTTTCTTGATCCACCTATTCGAAACCCTCTTTGCCATTTGTCGAAAGATGTGGCAAAATTGAGGAAGATGATTGAAGTTCTCACAATAGCCATAGTAGTAGCAAGATCCTTCTTCTCGAACTAATAGTAGTTCTAACATTGAATGCTTTCACAAAATTAAATTAATACTTTTGTTTATTGAAAAGAAAAGAAAGAAAGAAACTATGAAAATTAGGTATGTTTATTTTAATATTAAATTTGTATTTAATTTAAAATTAATTGATGGTAAATAAAATAATATTTTTTATATTTAAATCACATATTTTCTTATTTTTTTGTTATTTTTTTAATAGGAGATTTTACTCTTAATATGTGCATCTCATATGCAAGTTCAATATCATTTTTAAGTTTTATCTTGTCACGTGAATCTCGAGTTATGAACTTAAGAGAAAGAAAATGGTGGGGAATTACAAACAGTCACCCGATGCAAACCTATGGTATTCCTTTTCACTGGAATATCCACGATGAGAAAAGCTTTGCAATGTTGGTGAGAAACGGAAAGTAGATGTGGAACTGTGGAAGAAAATAAAAAGAATAAAATGCAGCTTAAGCAAGTTTAATGGGCTGCTTGGTTAGATGGGTCTTTTTTGGATGATATAGATTAAAATTAAACCCAACCTTTGGCGGGGAAACCAAATTTTCGAAAACTTGTGGCGCCAGAAGTAAAGTAAGTGTTCAGAAAAATCCCTGCCTGAACCGAAAATTCAACAACGTAAGAAGTAAAAATAAAAGAACTGAAAATCTAAGAAAGTCCCAGATCCTCGGATCCTCTTCCAGTTCGCGAAGACAGAGATGATGAAACGACGATCTGGGTCAAGGCGGAACAAGTATTCGTCGATTCGCGCAGAGTTAAGAAAACCAATGGGTAAGTTCTCTTTCAACTTGTTTTCTACGGAAAATTAGTGAAGGTTTTTGGTTCTCATTCCTATGCCAGTTAATTAGACTTGGGTTTTGTTTGGTTACTAAGAAAATTACGGAAAAAGAAGGAAAATTAAGCTGAACCTGGGTTTCATTCGGTAATTTTCTCTCGGGTTTTCCAGGGGTAGTGAGTTAACACGGATGACTTAAGCACTTGAATTGAAAGTATTACCCATATGGTTTCTAGGAAAGTAGAGGGGAAAAAAGAAAAGGAAAGAAAACAAAAGATGTGTCAATTTCTGAGTCTCGTTTTCCTTCATTTTTCATTTTGTGGATTTTCCCTTCTTTAGGGTTTTGATTTAGGCAAAGGGCAATGAAGCCAATAAAGAATCAATCAATGATGTACCCAAGGCATATGCTTCAACAAATTAATTGAATGCATCTCTAAGGGCAGAATCTCCTCTCCCTGGAAAAGTTCTCAATCTGATTTTCTTCTCCACACATGTTCCACCTGTGGGCACAAGTATGCCGCCAGGGACGAAAGTGATGACAAAAACCATAGCACATTTCACAAGAATTACACCCAGAGAATTCAATTCAAGGTAAGCACTTGAAGCTAAAGGTGTTTATTTTGTTGATTATAATGTTTCTATAGGGATGGCGCAATGAAAGGGTTATTCATATTCCTAATGGTATAGGTTAGTGTTATACATATGATGGTATGTGATCAAAGGTATAGCTATTTTGTATACCTATGCCAAGTAAAATAGTGTAAGTACAATCCTTTTCCTACGTGCTTTTTGATGTGTGTAAGTAAGTATATCTTAAGTCCATATACCCACAAACCGTAGACCGTAGTTAATACCTCTCTTGTGTATCTGTGCCCTGCAAATTATGTAGGTATAGTCCTCTTTTTCTTACAGTTTTTTGTGTGTAAGTATAATTTAATCCATATACTCTCAAACTGTAAACCATAGTTAATAAAGATCTATACTCATAAAATTTTGAACGTAGATAGAAAAAAGCAAGTATATGGCAAATTTGCTGTATGTTATGTAGTGCTGGAAATAAAAAGCTGCATCAGTATTAATATTAAGAAAATCACCATGAGCATACATAAAATGTAAGTAGTGCAAATTAAACCTTATTCGTGGATGTACGGGTTGCCACTTGGCGGAGGAGGGCTCGGCGGGTCTTCCTTATCCAAATTCCAGCTCGTCTCATGTGAAGTTGATGATGGAGAATGGACTTTAACATCTGGTCGTTTACCAAGCAGTCTCCTGCGGTTACGAGGAAGGACATGAACAACGTGACTGCAGGGCTTTGTTTCAGCAGTGAAGGGCTCTGTTTCGGCAGGGAATTTCTTGTAGGTGCAGGGCGGCTTTGCTTCAGTAGGTGTATTTTTCAGAAAAAGTATCCTGACAGTCGGTATTGTCCTGTAGTGGAATGAGCCTTGAGGATTAGACGTTGCATTCAATCTAAAAATATCCAAAAGAAAGTCAGAATTCACAATTTAATGTTCTGTTTATGTACGAAAACAAAGTATGTTTCCTTTTAGGTACCTGATTGTTCTGGCTCGCTTTATGGACCAGTGAATATGCCAATTTGGGCCAATAGGTAATGGCTTGAAAGGAGGGATTTTGGAGCCTAAGTAGTCAAGAATTGCAGTGGCGGTGAGAACAGGGTTTGTGAAATGAGAGGAAGCCACGATGAAAAACACTTCGGTGGGTTGATGAGCATGTAAGGTGACAGAGACAGTTATGGACCGACCCAGATCACGAACGTCCAGGGACTCATACACTTCCCGCATGGTGTGGGCTGCTCCCACTTTAATCAGGGTAATAATATGTCCCTGGATCCTGAAGTTTGTTGATGTTTGTAGGCATTTGTATGTTCTCCCTAAAATTTTAAAGAGCAGTTCAACCAGAATTCATCAGCAAACAGAAAAGGGAAACGAAAGGCGTTTGATGAGGATCATTCATGATATCATTGATCACATACCTTTTTCACCAGTGAAGACAAGAGGAAGAGGTCGTCCTGAATCAAGCTTTTGCTCTAATGCCTGTATTCATTGAACAATTCGAATCTTGTTTAACTTTGTGAGGCCAAATTAAGGGAGTTCAGAACATGCATGGAAGGGTTTTAAGTGCAGTGCAGATTTTACCTCGTTGCCATGAGTGAATGTGAGGATGAGAAAGAACAGCCCTGTGAGGAAAGCAGAGCCTAGCTTTTCGGCCATGGTGTTAGAGAAGACAGAGTCCAAAAGCAACCGTGAGTGAAGGAGGAAAAACCAAACGGATTTTATAGCTAAAAAAACCTGCACCCGCTTGTCCACGTGCAGCCGACTCTCAATATGAACAGGCACATGCCCCTTGTAATTGGTTGCATCATACATGATGCATGGTTGGTTATATCACAAACAAAATTTCCGGGACACATCTTTCAAAATCATGGACCGTCAAAGCAGACTGATGGCGGTACGGTTTCTTTGGCCGACGATTTCAGATTGCAAACGGTGCAGGCTGACCATTTTCACATTCTCCATTTGAGATCATTTTCTCATTCTCTCTCCGAGACCAAATTAATTACGTGGTATACACTCTTTTTTCCTAAAAAGGTGGCGGTTTTTTTTTTTTCAATTAAATTAAATTATTCAACAAAATTTGCCTATTAAAATAAAGTGAAAATTTCAACTTCCTTTTATATGTTTAATTAAATTTTTATGTAAAAGTAATGTCTAAAAAGTTTAAAAGATTAAATTAAAATAATTAAAATTAAATAAAATGAATACTTTTTTATAATATATAAATAGTAATTAAAAATGCTTTTTTATTGAATATAATTACTAAAAATAATTGCAAATTCAAGCAAAAAAGGGTTTTCAATTACCATATCGTTTATATTTTATATAAAAATATTAATTAAAATTACGTGTTAAAAAACAGTGAAGTGAAGATAATTTGAGACCGAAGGATTAGAACGTATGAGTACGAGAATTTTAGAATCTCCGTTTTAAAAATAAACTATTCAGTTTAGGAAAAGGAAAAAAAAAATTAAGATCACTAGGTTGCACCATTATAAATATATACTAGTATATTTTAAATTAGATATTAAGGTTTTTTTAATGGATTTGCCTACCTTGATGTGAATTAAAAGTGTAATAAATTATTTTGTTTTAATTAATTTATATAAAAAAATTATAAGAATTAATATTTATTTTAATATTATTATCATGTGTATAATTTTAATTAACCAATTAATTCAATTAAAAGTCAATATTTATATTTTTCATGCAAATTAAATATGGAAAAACTATTTTTTAATTTGTGCTCTTAGGATATAAATTAAAGTGGTATTTATTGTATCTTTTATCATTGATTATTATAAGAAAAATAAAATTCATCTTTAATTTTCATTAATCACTCAATTAATGTCATCCATTTGCATTGATAGTAAAATTAATATCAATTTTTGTGTTACTTTATACAAAATTAATAAAAAAAATGTATAATAAATGCACTTCTAAGATATAATTTAGAAAAAGGTCTCTAATAAGTGTTGTTATGGCATATATTAATAATATATTTATTGTATTTTTTAATTAATTTATATAAAAATTATGAAAATAAATTTTATTTTTAATACCAATATCACATGAAGTGACTTAATTAGATAATTGATAAAATTTAAATCTACTTTTATTTTTTATATAATTTAATGGTAAAAATGTGCAAGAAATTCACTATTAAGATATAGATTAGAAAATTTATTTAGTAAGAAGCCATTAAAGATATTAGATTATGTATATTGGAAAATAATAAAAGAATTTTATTTTAGTGTTATATCATCACAATAAATATTACTTTATATAAACTCATAACTCTCAAATGAAAAACCTAATAAAGTACATTCTCGTCAATTTATACACCTTAAACAATGTATTTTAAAAAAATAATAATAATTAATACATATTTTAATTTAGTATAATTTATAATGAATTTATTAAAAAATCATCACTTTAAATTTAAATTAAAAAAAAACTTAAATTTATATATTTTAATAATTAAACTAATAAAAATTAATAGATATATTAAACTAAAATGTGTATCAATTATTTCTTTTAAAAAAAATTACATTAATACTATGCTATAGTTTACGCAAATCACGCGTTTGGCCTCTTACGAGAATTTTGACCGATAAAAACTTGTCGAGTTTTTGGCATGTCGGGACTCCATTCCACCCAACACTCCTTTTTCTGTTTGTGTTTTTGCGAATGGTTTTTCAAACCTGTTTTTTCTAACACGTAATTTTTAAGTATAGGTTGAAGATACATTTAATATATATTTTTAATTACTAAATTATATAAAAATTAATTAAATTAAATTAATATATATTACATTAATATTAAAGTTAATTTCATTTTTTTTATTTTTATATAATTTAAAGACATATAATAAAAAATTTATTTTTTGAATTGACTTATTCAAACAACACTCCTTATCCAGTTTCTAGAAGAAATGATAGACTTCGCCGCCGAGAGTTCTGGCCGAGAGAAGGGGACGAAGCTACGGTGGCATGGCATCAACCAATCAGCGTGGTCAAATTTTTTTGCTTCCTTTTGCTTTCACTTTTTTGGGTAGGAAAACCTGTAACAATCAGCCGGTTGCTACCATACCCGTGGGACTGTGGTATCTATATGAAAAAGCTGATGGCTGTTTGAACTAGTTGATATTTAATGTAATATTAATTTTTTTAAACAACA